ATATAATGTTGATCATGTTTACTGGCAGACATAAACAGGCCATCCAACTGAGCAGCTGTCATGGTGAAAGAACTGCCCAAGGGACAGATGACCTGAAGTTGTTTCCCTCGCTGAGACACTTGCTTTTCATGTATTGATGAGTAATAATGAATGCAGGCCCTGCTTATCTCAAGCCTGCCAGCAATAGCCTGCAATATCTCCTCACGTTGCCCTCTGTGTGACTATGAACATTTGCCATCAAACTCCACAAGGGCTATAAACCACAGATCTGTGTGAGAGATCTGAGAACTTTAATATGGCATGCAAACTATGCCCTCTCACTTCAGAAAGTTTACTGCCATCTGTATTAGCTGAAACGGGAAAATGCCTATATTGCTTCAGAACACAAAAATAAAGTGTGGCAGTCATAAAAAAGAAATGACTGCTGAAAAACAAGGCCTACTAAATATCAGAGTTTGAACAACGCTGATCAAATATCATCTAGTTTTCAACCAGCGTACAGTTAGCACATGCAAAATATATGGTTTACACAAACCCACAACAGAAAACAAGCTACAATGATAGCATTCTTGTTGTGTACAGGATGTAAACACCAACATGTTCCTAAAGTATATAGAGTTACACCATAAGGACGAAGCAGAAAACAAGCTAAAAAAAGTAACAAGAATCCTATCACCGCTGCACTTCATCTAGTGTCAAAAAGCGACCTGTCAATTCTAAAATTAGAAACCCTGGACCACTTCCGACAAATGCCTGTCAGTGGACACAGATAAACCCTCACACTCGGCTATAAACACACACCCTCAGACGTATACGAGTGCGGTAAGTGATAATAATGATAGCCTATGGGGACTGGATGAGTCCTGTTTAATCAGAGCCTCAGTATGTTTCTATGGTAGCGAGGGTGTGGTGTGGTAACCGTCATGTAGCAAGGCTTCATTGTTTAATCTCGGCCCACAGGTTTGTGTCTGATGGCACTGTCACTTCTACTGAGCCAACAATGACAGGCCAGGCAGAAACACCAAGCCTTCCTTCACCATATTCAAAGCAGTCTTATCAATATGGGAAGGATGATTTCAGCCATTTGAATCATTACTAATTTGTGTGTGACGTGATGTAGATATGTCACAGCTCTCCAGCACACAGCAATAATTTGTGCTGGACTAGTTTGAGCCAGAGCTGAACACACCTTAGTCAAATGAGGCAGTTCACAAAAGGATTGACTATCAGAAGACACAGGAAATGCAAACAGCCCACTAAATGAATTAATCAACCACACAGATCTTTTTTGATTGTTCCAAACTTAGTTATTTTGATACAATAAACATATTTTAATTTTTTTTTTAAACCGTACTGAAAATCTTGATATATTTTCCTCAAATTGTTTTTATACTACCAATTAAAGTGAATGAGGACTGAAGCTTCCAAAATATCTGTAAACAGCAATTATTTTGACAAAATAGTCGTCTGTATTAGGAATGTACAGATCCGATCACGTGATCAGAAATCGGGCCAGATCACGCTGTTTTAGGTCCAATCAGAATAGGATGTTACCTCCCAATCAGGACTCAAATATATATTTATACACAGTTGAAGTCAGAATTATTAGACCCCTTATTTATTTTTTCCCTTAACTTCTGTTTAACGGAGAGAAGATTTTTTCAACACATTTCTAAACATAATAGTTTTAATAACTCATTTCTAACAACTGATTTATTCTATCTTTGCTATGATGACAGTAAATATTATTTTACTAGATATTTTTTAAGACACTTCTTTACAGCTTAAAGTGACATTTAAAGGCTTAAGTGGGTTAATTAGGTTAACTAAGCAGGTTAGGGTAATTAGGCAAGTTATTGTACAACGATGGTTTGTTCTGTAGACTATCGAAAAAAATTTAGCTCAAAGGGGCTAATAATTTTGAACTTAAAATAAATCATAAAAAAAATAAAAATTGCTTTTTATTCTAGCTGAAATAAAACAAATAAGACTTTCTCCAATAGAAAAAAAATATTATCAGACATACTGTGACAATTTCCTTGCTCTGTTAAACAACATTTAGGAAATATTTTAAAAAGAAAACAGAATTCAAAGAGGGCTAATAATTCTGACTTCAACTGTTTTTGCATATATTCTCATTATTTATTATTATTATTATTATTATTTATTTTTTGACACATCTAGAGTTATGCGGTGGCACAGAGTTGGACCTCTTTCTTGAATTCACACAGAAACAGCAACACGTGTGGCATGACACTTTGTTACAGAGATGCTATTGGTTAAATGCTGGCAAAGTAGAACACTAGAGCAGCTTGAAGCGGAAAGCGCGAGTATGTCTTCAGTGTTGAGGTATTATAAAGTTGATGATGTCAACATTGCCATAGGAAACTGTGAGAAATGTAAACTTGGGATTGCTTGCGGGTGTTTTAAGTTGAGGTGCTATTTGTTTTTATATAATTTCTTTTTATATTTATTGTTGCTCTAAAATCCAAAAGTGAATAATTGATGTTATTTAATACTAGATTGTTCAAGCTACCTCACAGAAGTACTCTGTTTGTTAACAGAGTTGTTGAATGTTACAATAAGGTGAATTAAATAAAAAATAAGAAACTGGATCAGGATCTGTTTTTTTTTTTTTTGCTCTTCTTTATTCTTTTTTATGTATTTCAGAAGTATTTGATCAGGTTTTGGTATCGGTAGATACTCAAAATCAAATGCCTTTGACCCAGACTCGAGGGCAAAAAAACTTGATCGGGACATCCCTAGATGCATAATTTTTCACGATCATGAAGAAAACAAAACTTAACTTTTAAACTTTTTTAATATCATCAGCATGTAAGATTGTCCAAATTTACATTGTTTATAAAATTTGATATTTGATATATTAACGTCAGATAGTTTGAAATATGTAATTTTTGTGAATAATTAAAGTAAATGAAGACCGCCAAGGTAAAAAATTACATAAAAGTAGGTCCACCCTGAATCTGCACGAGCAGAAATCTGACGATTTTTAGCCCATTGTTGAGTCTATTCATTTACTTGTGTAAATGTGTGTAAACTTACATTGATTCAGTTTTTAAATACATTTCAGTATATTGAGTAATATAAAAATGTTCATATGATTTATCTACAATATAGTTTGTAAAGTAACATTTTCCCTTGTTTAGTAGATATATTAAAAGAGAGACTTGCTTTGTTTCCAGTTTTTTACATTTGCATTGTCAACATCAAATAAAAGTAATAAAAAATATTTTTAAAAAGTAATTTCTAATTAAAATACTCTCAAAATGATTCAGCATAAATTCACAGATTTTTATTATTATTTATTTTTTTTACAAAATTCTCTGCAGAAATATCAAAAAAATGTCCGCAGATTCTGTCTGGCCCTACATAAAAGTACCACATTTAATGACTTGTAAGGTCATATGGTAAGTTTATGTGAGGAACAGGTTAAATGTATGTTTTCAAGGCTCTGCTTAAAATAGAAAACTATTCATACATTTTGCCTTTCATTAACATGAAAAGGATGTTAAAGGTGCCATAAATATGAATAGTTTTGCTAATCGGATTAGCTAATCGCTCTAGTTGTTCAGAGTTTAGAAATGATTCAATCAGTTTAGCGAATCTTCTGAATCAAATCAGAATGATTTGTTTACATACTGAACTGCTCCAGTTCAGCCTTTTCAGTTCTCAGTGATCAATTCTCTGATAGCAAAGATTGTCAATGAATGACAAATCTGCAAGTCATGTATATTGCAGGAGTTCAGAACACTTGTAAAATAGCACACAAGTCCAAACAATTGTTATGGTGCATTTGCTTGCATATTAGTGAAGTGTAAAAGTTTGATTCCTATTCACTGTAAAAACAACTAGCACATCATTGAATATGTATCCTTTTGTGTGTTCATATGTCAACAAGTCACAGTTGGACTGACATGAGGGAAAGTGATGAAAAAAATTGTATTTTTCTGTGAACTGTTGCAGTGACTTAAGAATGTTCTAGTTCACTTACGTGACCTGGAAAATATAATAGCCTGGTAATTCTTCTGCTTTTGTTTGCAAATATCAAAGCAGCAATGAACATGTCAGAGCTGGGCTGACAGATCTCACAACGTCACTGTCTCCCAAAGACACACCTGTGAGAATACTGAACAGGTTGATCAACATACCATGTTTTTTTCACAGGTATGGGCTGATCCAAACCAATGAAACTAAAACAGTCCAGCACACGCACACAACACAAACACCTGCTGAGAGGTGAATTCACTCACGGAAAGTCTTTAATCTGTTTTTATCTCAAATTTACACACAGACAAACACACACAGGCCACTTGTCAGCATCTGTTTCAGCGATAGTGAGTGTTTATGCTTCACCGATGAGGGCGATTCTGCTGTTTTAAGATCAGATTATGTATTCACTGCAGGTCTACTGCCTTAATTGACTCATCTTTCATTTTTTCACTTGACAAAACGGCTATTTCCATGTTTTTTTAATAAACAAAACAAATTCATGCAGAATTAGAGTAATAATTGATCATATGATCAATTATTGTATCTATTAGCTATCTGTATGTTAACAACCACAACATATTTAAAATAGCCATTAAAAGTAAATTTCATTGACTAAAAAAAAAGATTTTGAATTTACTTTGAAGTAGTAAAATCCCTAAAAACCACACATCCTTATAAATAAAATGACGCAATAAATTAAATATGATTTTATTTTGTAAATAGAAAGAAATAAACATACTCCAAAAGCCATTTTCACAGCGAACTGGCTCAATTGAATTTAAATTACTGGTTTGGTACTGTAATACAAGCCTGGTTTACTAAAATTTGTGAATATGCCCCGTGGACAATAAGATCTGCCAAAATCACCATCCAATGAGCCATAAACAGTGGTTGGTTGCATTTTTCATAGCTAAGCCACAGCTATTTTCACATTGGCAGATGGTCAAGCATATTACAGAACACTGTAAGTTGTGAAAACCAAAACTTACTTGACAGTCACACGTGTGGATAAGTCTTGCAGGTCTCCTGGGTGGAAAAGCTGTGCTTCTTTTAGTCCAAGCTTAGCGCAGGCTTTTAGGAAGAGGTTGATGTTGTCCTGTAGACAAAGAATATGTGTCCACCTTGTGAGTTAGACAGCAGTCATACAGGAATTCTTTGGCACAGGCAGTCCAGAAATCATTGCATCCAAAGTTCAGTCCAGTGAGCTGAAGCAGTGGGAGGAGACGAAAGAGGGCAGGTGGCAAATAAAAAGTGACACCATAAAAGCAAAGAATGAAGGCAGGACATCCCTGACTGATCTGTGACAGTACCTGTGAGAACGGGAGTTTGGCCTCGAGGTGGAGCAAAAGCATGACAGAGGCCACTATAGTCTCCTCCCCTGCACATGTAAGGCAGTCACACAAACACACACACACATGCTTGCTCTCCCTTTTCACTCTCTTACCCAAACACATACCTACATGTGCGCAAACACACAAACTCAAGCGCACTCTCCCTTTTCACACCCAGAAACCGCCACTTGAGTCTCTCAGCAGAGTATTTGAGGAATCTTCAGGGTGGTGGAGTATTTTGGAGACAGGGTTACCATGAAACACAGGTGACTAAAACGGCAAACTATTTCCCTCGAGCAACTGCTAAAACGCTTTGGTGGGTGGGTGAGGAAATGCTTTAATATAAGGAAACTCGAGATCATGTGTGTGCATCCGGGATGGCGATGAAGTTGTGTTATTGCATAATTTCAATTAGACTTGATAAAGCATCTGGATGACATGTTCAGAACTTGCAGCCCACCCTTTCCTGAATTTCAGCTCCTTCTGAAATAATTACAGGGTGCTTCGGCCTATATTTAAACAGCAAACATGCTCATTAGCAGATGGCAATGAGGAGTTCTAGTTTTAAATCATCTCCTTGTTTAAACAACTGTGCAGTCCTGTTTTCTGAGACACGGGGTCAAAAGTCTTACCCTGACCCTGACATCAAAGCGTTTGCTGAAGTGCATTTCTACTACTGGCTTGTTTGTCCCTCATATTAACATACATTTTGGTTTCACTTTCACTACATGGTGTTACATGTCTCTTTTTCCATTTTCAGCCATTTTTAAAATTACTTTAAACTAGAAATGCCTAAACTAGGGTGGGGACAAATGATGGGGAAGATTCAGGTGAATTCCTCAAACAGAGATTGTTATTTCTAATTTACCATTACCTTTTGTTTGTTTGTTTGTTTGTTTAATTGATGAGCTACAAAAAAGCACAACTAAAATTAAACGTTTCAATTAAATATTGTGAATTAATTAGATTTTTAAAAGGGTCATGAAACATCAAAACACGTTTTTTAGATGTTGACAGATAGATGCAGATAGATACAGTTGAAGTCAGAATTATTAGCCCCCCTTTTAATTTTGTTTTTCTTTTTTAAATATTTACCAAATGATTTTTAACAGAGCAAGGAAAAGTTCACAGCATGTCTGATCATATTTTTTCATGGAGTCTTATTTGTTTTATTTTGGCTAGAATAAAAGCAGGTTTTGAATTTTTATGATTAATTTTAAGGTAAAAATTATTAGCACCTTTAAGCTATATATTTTTTCGATAGTCTACAGAACAAACCATTGTTATACAATAACTTCCCTAATTACCCTAACCTGCCTAGTTAACCTAATTAACCTAGTTAAGCCTTTGAGCTGTATAGAAGTGTCTTGAAAAATATCTAGTAAAATAATATTTACTGTCATCATGACAAAGATAAAATTAATCAGGTATTAGAAATGAGTTATTAAAACTATTATGTTTGAAATGTGTTGAAAAAACCTTCTCTCCGTTAAACAGTAATTAAGGAGAAAAACAAAGAAGGGGGCGAATAATTCAGGGGGACTAATAAATCTGACTTTAACTTTATATGTGTGGCACATTATTTTTGTAAAAAAAAAAAAAAAAAAAAAAAAATATATATATATATATATATATATATATATATATATATATATATATATATATATATATATTTAATATTTAATATATATATGTAGCTTCGGCCCACCCCCCTTAGTCAAGTTTGGTTCTTGGCCCTTCATAAAAAAGCGTTTGGACACCCCTACTTTAAACCAAGCTTCTGTGTTTAATAAAATACCGCAAAACAAGCTTGCAAAATTTCTATATGAACACAAAATAAAACAGAAGAAAATGATAAAGAAAGCATAGCTTTTGTTTCTGCTCTGATAAACACGAAACAACATCAATGCGTTTTTTTTCTGCTGTTTACTTTTCTTCAGTTTCAAACCACAAATTTGATTTCAGTTTAAATCTCATCTAGCTAGCATACGTGACAACACAAACTGTAATGTTTAAATATTGGTTCAGTAGGCAGTGAGAAAGTAGACTTCTGTGGCTGTTTGAATGCATTCAAGCTCACAAACATTTATACTACTAAAACAAACTGGCCAATATGTATTTTTCATTACCTCTAGATGTGAAAATAGTTTACATTTGTACTGTTGTATGGTTGATGTATCGGAACCTATTTTAGATGAAAATCTACAATCCAAGGTGCTCTAGATGCTGAGGAAATCTGTTTTAAAATTAAGCTTTTAGCAATGCATATAACCAATTTAAAATTATTTTCTTATATATTTATGATGGGGTAGCCCAATGGCTCAGTGGTTAGCACTGTGGCCTTACAGCAAGAAGGTCGCTGGTTTGAGCTCCAGCTGCATCAGTTGATGTTTCTGTGGAGTTTGCATGTTCTTCCTGTGTTCGCTTGGGTTTCCTCCGGGTGTTCCGATTTCCCCCACAGTCCAAAAACCTGCACTATGTACCCCTTTTTTTTTTTTGTTTTTACTATGTACCCTTTTTACAAGCCTGTTATGATGCATTTCACGGGCATCATCATCTAAAAATTCTTGAAAGTTTTTAATATTTTGATGTTTTTTTAATGAAAATTTATATTTATTTACGTATGTATTTTATCATGGCACAGGACAGTAAATTTGAAATTATTCTCTCCTCTGGCTGCCATCATCAGTCTCACACAATTATTTTCCTTTTTCTGAAGGTTTTTGTAACACCATTGTGGAGTTTTTCCTTTATTATCTGAGCAAATAAGATTGCAAAAAATAATTTGTTGTATTCTCCCATTCACTGCGCTCTAAGTTTATCCAACTTAAACGACTTCTGCTGCTGAGAAACCCAGAAATGTAAAAAAAGGTCTATAGTTGTATTTAATAAACTAATTTGGCCGTAATGTACGTGTGTGAATGTGTATGAGAGAAATGATATATATATATATATATATATATATATATATATATATATATATATATATATATATATATATATATATATATGGTGTTACATAAAATATGTTCATAAAACATGGTATTGATTCTTTAATGATTATTTTAATGATTTTTGCATCACATAATATACATAAAATGTATAATCACAAAAGAGAATATAGTGCACATAAGTTAAATGCCAACAAGCATGTATAATTCTCACACTCCAACAGCTTGATTGGTATCCTCACCCTTTCACCTACACTTATGTGAAGTATCTGAGAAATGAAAAGGTCCTTCTAGTCACCTGTTTACCTGAATTCCTGAATGCTAAATGTCTGTCGAAGCAGGGTGACTAGAAACAAACCAACAATTAGATATTTTACCTTTACTTAGAATTTTAAATAACCTGAAATTTCTCAAAAGGACACTTCAGTGAAAACATTGATAGGCATACATTTTGCACAAATATCTTTGGCACAGTGACATATTCGCTGACTGAAGTGGGTCAGATACCTCCACAAATACAACACATCTGAACTACTTTGCTTATACAAAGTGAGGCTGATCAATTTACAATCACAAAATACTTCAGATGTTTTAACCACATAATTTTGAGCTTTCCCAAAATCAATGTCTTGTATTTGCAACTAAGTGATGTTTTCAAGAGGATCACGTGATATGATTGATTGTGGCTAGACTCTCATCCACACACTGCAAAAAATAGATTTGTTGTCTTGTTTCTAGTCTAAATATCTAAAAATTCTTAAATCAAGAAAAATTTTCTAGACAAGCAAAACATAATGTCTTGTTTTAAGAAATAATATGCCAATATTAAGTCAGTTTTGCGCTAAAACAAGCTAAATAATCTGTAATGGGGTAAGCAAAATAATCTTGTGTCAAAAAAAATAACAAGATGGCTTTGCATACTGTACTGCAGATTATTTTGCTTGTTTTAAGGAAAAGCTGACCTCATATTGGCACATTTTTTCTGATAACAAGATGATAACCTAGAAATTTTTTTCAACCTTTTAAATAATATAGATTGGATTTTGTTAGCAAAGAAAACTTGTATAACTTAACTGCTTTAGGTCAAACCAGTTAAACAGTAAAAATGTTTTTAATTAATTTAAGCAAATTTAAACATTCATTAGCACAGCTGAGTTCATCTTAAGAACCAAATCACGCAGACATAATGATTTGAGAAAGAATCTCTAACTCTTCAGTGAGTGTTCATAGTCCTGTCAGAAAACTATGAGTCTCCAGTCAAACCATTCTTTGCAGCCTTGCTGGTTGGTTGACCAATTATGATTAAGGAATTTGGAGGGGTTGCATACCATGCATTCATATTTTAATCATCAAATAGTAATCCAAGGTGTGCCAGTGCACCTACTGTAATAGTGATAAAGAGTAACAGAGTAGAGCGCAAGAACCATTTTGGGTGTGATAAACTATAGTGAACAGGGAATAATACACCAGTTCAATAAAGCATTAAATTTAACACGTATCATGAGTTTAATAAAAGAAATAATAAAATATAAATGCTTAAATGCCCACTTTAAGAGTAAACAAGCTTGGTGGCCTGTGGAAAATTCTATTCAAATAATAAGTTCTGCCAATTCTCCTTTCATAGTGGTCAGGCCTGCTGCAAATATATCCATCCAGCTCAATTATAGGGGGTTTATGAAGGGCTTCGCTCTACAGAATCATCTCTACAAAACCTCAGGCCAAAGCCCTGCCAGAATGAGTTTTCTAATGTGGCCGACCAGTGTGCCACACAAGTGTAGGCTTCCTCTCTTCAAATTGTTAAAAGGAGGATCAGTTATCCGGGGAAACACAAGGGTAAACCACGGCTCCGGTTTGATGGAACTATGGGAAAGTGATCCAGAGATCATCACAAGCCAAACCCTGAGTAGAGTTTAGCGATCCAAAGCCAGAGTCACTACGCAGTCCTCAAAACCATAGATTTCCGCTCTTGCACTAATGAGCCTTGATTTAACAAAATTTAAAACCTCTGTATCAGAATGAATCTGTGACTAACAAAAGCTAAGCTGCCAGAAGGAACAATAATGGTGCTGGTGAGATTTCAGAGCCTTGAATAAGCCTTTCATTCTGTGGAAAAATATCTTTCATCAGTCATAAACATGCTTGGATAAGTGCACTGTGTTCTTTTGCGTCTTGCAGTTTTCTGGTTGCTCAGACACAGCTCGCTTACAGACAAACTTTACAGGCTCAGCAGTATTTAGTAAAACGAAAATATACTCCAAACTATGTGTTTTGCTTTTGCATGACTCTGCTTAGCCCTTGCCATGTAAGCTCTCAATTGTCAGTTTAGGCTCTGCTCATAGGTTTTGGGGTTGGAAACATATTATGGAAAAACTGCTGTGATACTTTTGGACATGTGGATGCTTATCTAAGATTGCCTAGATCAACAGTATTAAAGGGCAATGGGAAATAAAAAGCATGTTTTGCATAGATTAGTCCCAAATAGGGTTGTAACAATATACCGGTATGACGGTTTACCACGATTTGAACGTGCACAATTATCATACCATGAACAATTGCATATCAACGGTTTTAACCCTTAAAGACCGAGACAGCCGCCCGCGGCTAAAAATAAGTATTGCTCTTAAATGTTTAATAACTTTTGATCCGCTGATCCGATTCATACAATTCAAAGATTGGCATAAAGAAGAGAATCTCAGCTTTCCAGTGCTGTATCACATAACATTCGCGAGAATGAGAGGCTCCGGAATCAGTGCGGTTACGTCATCAACATTTGACAACGCTGATTTGACAAAGAAACGCTCGTCACTGTGTCTCCGGACAAATCAGACATGATACATTGATGCATTGTTCCTCCTCCATGCCCAGATTGGTTCAAACTCGCTATATCACAACCAATAAGCATAGGTTTCGCTTTTGTTTGTGGACCAAGCTTTTTGAACAACACGGAATGAGAGATAGGCATACATTTATGCGCGGCTAAATAAAACGCAAAAAAAAAAGTTTTGCATGAAATAATTCTCATACTAAGTACTTTTGCATGCACAGCAGCACAGAAACATGACAAAACAGTGACACAGCAAAGACGAACTGCTGCTCTTGCTGTTTTCAAAAGACGCAAATGAAGGTGCAGCTGTTTGTCTGCATTGCAGACAACCATATCCAAATCCATATCGATAGACAACCATATCCATGCTGGCACATAAAACCTAAGGATGTTCCATATTGAATCTAGTTTCGTTATGTAACTATTTATAGTATAGTAAATATTTATATCTATTTTTTACTGAGGATTTGCACCATGTTTATTTGGACTTTATTTGGACTTTGACACATTATTTATTATTTTCTTATTTTTATTTGTTCATTGTAAGTAGTGTTGTTTATAGTAACTAAAAATATATTATTTGGAAAAAGTCAAATTTGCTTCACTGTTCTATTATTTTGTAACATTTGTAACATACCGTATACCGCGAAACAGTCAAACCGTGGTATTGTTTTAGACGATTATCATACCGTGAAAAATTCATACCGTTACAACCCTAGTCCCAAAATTTCAGGCTCACATGCTACTCACTTAAGATAAAAAGTAATACAATTTAGTGATTTATGCAATGTGTAATGGCATCAGTGCTGACTTTAAAGGCATATGATAGGCTATTGTGTTCATAACTTCAATAGAAATGTGTGTGATTGTTTATTATTCTCTAAACCTACCAGCAAGAAATGTCCTGCCCAAGTCTTGTGGTTGAGGTTTGGTCTAGTTCTTTCAGTATTTCTTGGGGTTACATTTCAGGTAAAATCTATACCATCATTACTGTCCTACAGTGTGCACAGTGGCTGAGGATTGAGGTAGACTGTGGACCTGAAATTTAGATAAGCAGAGCTGATCTTTCCTATACACACAGTACACAATAGGTGCATCCCAAATTGCATATTTATGCACAATTCTACCCCATTTTGTAGTATAAATAGTGTAAGTAGTGGGTTCACACTGAAACTCTAAACATAATAAGTGCACTTTAATTACCCGGCATGAAGAAAGAGGTGTGGAATGTTGGACACTTCACGCATTCAACGGCTACTGCTTTGCTACTGCAGTACTTTCAGGCACTGATGTTGGATTACTTCATTTATTTTGGATTGTGAAAGCAAAATTCGCCATCGAGAGTGATTATACCGCCTCCTGATGGTGATTGCGGTTATACTCATGGCAGGTATTATTTGGTAGTATGGTCATTTATTTCACTTATTTGGCAACCGTCAAACGTCATTTGGGAAACGGTTTGAATTACTGCTTAGTAAAAAAAAAAGTTATTGTTCCATTTGGGGCAACACTACGTACACACTGTAAAAAATGCAGGGTTCCACAAAATTCCATAATGTTGTCTCAACAAAAAAGTTGATTAAGTTAACTTAATTAAGTTATCCCACAAAACCTTCAGCTCATTATAAATAAGTAGATTGAACAAACATCAAAAATATTCTTATATTATGCTGTTGGGTGTGTAAGTCCATAAGTGCATAAGTGCCAAGTGTACTGTTCAGTATAGTGTGCCATTTGGGACATAGCTTAAATGTCAAAGCTTATCTGTTTTGTTTTTGGCTTCCAACGACTATGAAAGCTGCTTCCTATGAAACATCCTAATCAGTCGGTTCATGTAATGTTATGTGACACTCTTAAACAAACAAATACACATAAAAATACATTAAAATGTACACTGTGCCGTGTCTTGACTGACCTAGCGTTAGTTGCCTGAAATGAGAATATATACAGTTAGGAAAGTAATTGAGTTCTTATCTGTATTGTAACACTGTCACTGTTGTTTGTTGCTGTTGTTTGCTCTGAATGGGGTTGAGTTTCATTTTGGGCTTTTTATTAAAATGCTGATATGAGACCTCTCAACAATGGTTTGCTTAAGGGCCCTGTAGAAGTCTAGGATCGACTCTGCATGTATGGTAATGTGATTTACATTTCTGACACAAGCTGTAAGATTATTTTTGTTTTATTAATGTTTTTTATTTAAATGTATGTAAAACACAAGTGAACACAAAACAACAACTAGAGACAAATTTGCACAGGGTGGAATGTATGATGTGAAATGTGCATTGTATTTGCAGTATACGTGCGATAACCACCTTAAGATTGGTGGTGTTGGATGCTTTATCTACTTGCATGTACTGCAAGTCTATGCATTGTTAGTTTTGGAAAAATCATTTTCTGTTTGGAAATACAGTTTAGTGCCAAAATGATTCCTTTTAAATACCAGGTATACGTTAATGATTTACACTGTGCCAATTCACACTAAATACCTGCGTTCATCTAGTAAATTATCAAACTTCTTATGAAGCGTTAGGGCTCCTTCAAGGTGAAATACTACAGCTCAAATCGTGTACTGTATGCACATCAGTGTACCAAAAGAAAACTTACCAGGCCAGCAATAGGTGTGGAAAATCTGTTTAGTTTCTTGATGATGCCAGGTTTGATCTTGTTGATCAGACTACAAGGAGGAAAACAAAACAAAAGTCAACACAAACAATATATTGCATGCTGGTTGCCAGTTTATGGCTTCCTTTAGTTCTGACCATCTGGCTTGAGTTTACAATGCTCTAATGCTCTGGAAAAAAATACAAACAACTCTGTGGAAACAGACATCAGCCAGTTTAGTTTTTGTGTAGAAATAACGTAATATACAGATTCAATAAAATTTGAAAATTAAAGCATGCAGTGTGCAGAGTGAAAATTGGTAACACTTTACAATAGGGTTCATTAGTTAATGCATTTACTAACATGAACTAACCATGAACAACACTTGTACAGCATTTATTAATCATAATTGAACATTTACTAATGCATTATTAACATATAAGTCCATGCTTGTTAACATTAGTTAATGCACTGAGTTAACATGAACTAACAATAAACAGCTGTATTTTCATTAACTAAAGTTTACTAACATAAATATGTACTGTAGTAAATGTATTGTTCATTGTTTGTTCATTTTAGTAAATGCATTAATTAAAATTAACTAACGAACCTTATTGTAAAGTGTTACCTGAAAATTGTGATTTCTGACTCTAGCTAATGAGTAATATGTGGAGAGGCATTCATTAACACTTTATGGCTTGCCTTATGTAGTGTACAATATCTTCTCTCATATTTGACTTTCTTTTACCAAACAAGGAAGAAGGTCAAACATGGAAACTAAATGAGAAGTAAATTATGACAGAAGTGTAATTTGGGGTGTTTAATATACTGTATTTACACAAATGCAGTATATTAACTAGGATTTCTACATATAGTTACATAAAATTGTCTAAATGTTTAGTTTTGGGCATTCCTTCTCTGTTTTTGATGGCCAAAACTCATAAAATACCCAAAACAATGTGTATAACTACACTAAAAGCCCCTTTTGCATCTTCTTTGCGCATTTGAAAGCACTTTTATCTCACTGCATGTTCAGACTTTGATGTGCCTGCCCTAGCTGTAGTTTCACAGGGCCCTTTGTTTAGACACAAGATCCAGAGTGACAGTATCCTCAGGTAATGTGTGTTCACTCATGTGGAAATGGCAAAGCTAATGGCTCAGTACAGACTGTAAGTAGGCATTATGTAAGTGCAGGAGCAGGACGGTGAGATTCTGCACTGGACTGTGGTAATTAGTCTGCTGAGTCATTCGACTGACACCAGCATGTCAGACGCGGCCCACGCTCTGCCCCATCCAGTCAGGTTCAGAATTGTGCTGAAACCCCTGAGTTTGCAGGACATCACACCCAGTCCACCGACCCAATGCTCTCTTTCTAAATAAACAGCAGAGGAGCACTGCTGTAGAACACGGCCTGTCCCCATGTGCATGCACTCTGCCCTGCTCAGGTTTCTAAACCCGGCTAGAGTAGCTGGCACTATGGATCACCTCTTCCCAGCTGTCCTTTTAAATGCTCTGCCATCCGTGTTGTTTTCCTCTACTGGCCTTACTAATGCTTCCTGGGATGGAACAGAGTCTGACTGTGGCAGTCTGGAACAAATTATGTGTTTTGAAAATAGCTACATGACATAATGCACCCTAAATGACACACAAAACTGACATTAGATGCAAATTACAAATGAAAAAATTCAGGAAGTGTTGGCTTGCATTGCATTTCACCCAACAGATTTTTCTTTTCTAGTGTCTAAATCTCTAAAATCTTACTGCAGATTACACCACTTAAAGATTACATAAAAAATAAATAAATAAATAAATAAATAAATAAACTAACGAACGAATGAACGAAAAAATAAATAAATAGATACACAGGCAAATAAAAACATAGATTTTGAAGATACTTTGAAAATAATTGGTCAGTTTGTGCAAGAACACAACATTATTTGCTTTAATTTACAGGTTATGCAAATTATCCAGAGCATGTTCATGACAATCTGGAGAATGAGTTTCCTGTCACTGATTTATGCGAAGACACAGGCATGCACAAACCGATGCTGTTAGTGTACAACATAAATGGAAGATGTGTTTGTTGTATTGCTCATCAAAATAGTTCTTGTGTTTACCCTGGATGTTACAGCCATTACATAATTTTTGGAAAACAAACAGTGTCAACTCATGTTTTGTTGTGTCTGTACTTAATATTTTGGCTCTTAAAATGTTTGGAAGGAATTGAAGTTAATTAAATAAAGTCTATTTTAAGATTTACTGTTCTTTTAAGTCTGCTTACATCAGGTGTCACAAAGTTCTTGACATATGTATTACATTTTTGTAAATCATTTAAATATCAGTAGTCATAACCTTAAAATAACAGTAAGGCTGCTGTTTTGACATTGGAATGGTATCATATCTTTCTGTATTTCTCTAAAGCCTTTTAGAATTGCTATCAATTGTAGATTTCATTCATCACAAAGGAAACAAAAACTTCTCCCTAATAAATTAGGATGCGTTTCCCACCATATTTCAACTTAAAATTGCTATGGTTGTTATGGATATTGATTGTTCTTGTCTAGATGTTTCCTGGTCTGAAAAGGCTTAAGATAACCCCTGGTTTACAATATGTAATGCTAGTGTGCACCAAAGAGTTTTGTGATAGTTATGCCATTAACCAAAGTTTAAATACAGCAAAAAATAAATCAATGAATGCGTTATGTAATGCTAGTGTGCACCAAAGAGTTTTGTGATAGTTATGCCATTAACCAAAGTTTAAATACAGCAAAAAATAAATCAATGAATGCGTTAAGCACTCAAATTTAGAAAGGTATAAGCAAAAACAGATTTACTTACTCACACAACAGTAGTCCATTCTCCAGAGAACTACGGAAATTACTGTTCCCAAACTTCTTCTTAGTGACTGCCTGCGAGACGAGGACAAACACAGGAAGCACTAAGAACCATTGAATGAGAAGGTAGGATGTCCAGGGAAAGTAGAGGAAAGTTGTACTTCCAAGCTTCAAGTCCAAGCGACTAGCACGCTAGTACAACAACACAGCCTCTTTTGGAGAACCGTGGGTTATTCAGTAATCAGGACTGGAGCCCAGCGGCCAAACCACAGAGAACGAGAGCATCTGGAGGAATGTCACAGTTCTACACACAGCTTCATGCCTTTGCAGTGATCTCAAGCTACTTCTGCAGGATACAGAAGGCAGGCAGCCCATTGTTTTTACTCACACACAGGGAAGCATTTATGTTGTGTTTATGCCCTCAGACTACACTGTTACAATGTGAGCCCCGTTGCTCCACACCTTGTATAACATAATAATCTATAAAAAGCAAAGCCCCTTTTTCCACATACAAATGTTTTCAATTTCCACATTTAAATGCCAGAAAAAGCGTATCTTTCATGAGACGATGTCATTATGAGTAATACTTCAAGCATGTGTTATACTTCAAGCAAGAGAACTTCAGCTAAATACAAACCAAATCCAAACAGAAGCCAAACAGACACAGTTTATCTCTAAACACAAAAAATGTGCTTTATTTTAATAAACTTTTTAACACTGTGAGTAATTGTGTATATCAATTTATGCTATCGGTGAGGCTGTGGCGTAGTAGGTAGTGCTGTTGCCTCACAGCAAGAAGGTCGCTGGGTCGCTGGTTTCAACCTCGGCTTACTTGGCTTTTCTGTGTGGAGTTTGCATGTTCTCCCTGCCTTCACGTGGGTTTCCCCCAGGGTCTATAAGCATGTGGTACAGGTGAATTGGGTAGGCTTAATTGTCCGTAGTGTATGAGTGTGTATGTGAATGTGAGTGTAAATTATTCCCAAAGGTGGGTTGCGGCTGGAAGGGCATCCTGTGCGTAAAAAAACTTGCTTGATAAGTTGGCGGTTCATTCCACTGTGGCGATGTCATGTTCACCAGCGAACAACCACCAGATGTCGCTGGTAAACACTCATACACAAACACACACTTAGAACTACACTTCAGCCTTTTGCTGGACTACATTTTCATACATGCACTTCTCCCTGACACCCATGCTCATTCACCTAACTTGATTGCATTCACCACCTGAACCTTGTCATAGACTGAACTCTCACAGCTTAAGCCACCCTCACAATGATTATTAGGACTATTTAAACCCCTCTTTTCCACACACATGTTGCCGAGTCTTGTTTACTGTTAGTGACATTACAACGCGGTTTCCTTTGTCTGCCTTTGCCGTGTTTTTGATCCTTTGCCTTGTTTATTTATTTAATGCTGTTTGCTGCCTGCCTCTGACCATCTGCCTGTTATTTTGACTTTGACTCTGCATTGCCCTCATACATCTGTTTGCCCCTGTATTGACCATTGCTTGCCTGACTACGATTAAACCTGCATTTGAATCCTACCTTCTGTTGTTGGTGTCACTCCCCGTCGTTACAGGCGACCCCGGATTAATAAAGGGACTAAGCCGACGAGAAAATGAATGAATGAATGAATGAATGAATGAATTTATGCTATTTACCTGATCATAACAATCGACTGATACTTAACTAATATTTTAATGAGTTGCAAAGTTACAAATAGTCAACAAAATGTGTAAATGGGGCAATCAAAATAAAGTATATCCAACAAAATTAACTACCATTCAATACCACTATTAATCTACTTTCACTTAACTGTTGTTCAGGAAATTGACATGTGTTCAGAGGGTGTGGAGAGCCTTAAATATAAAAGTAAACCTCTTCTTTCGAGTTCCGTATTGACTGTGAGATTTAAACCACAAATGTTGTCGTTTGAAGAACTTCAAAGCACACTTACTGTGTCTGCCCAACAAAGCAAACACAAAATACTATGTGAACAAATACTATGATCCTCTTAGATCCAGTTATACTGCTATTTACTGACTAAAGGCAGCTTATCCTAGCAGGGAATTTGCATTCTATGCCACACTGATTTAAATCTCTAGCTAATGTGATAAATTTCTAACACAGCCAAAGGTTTATTATTTACCATTTTGTATGTATTATGTAATGTATAATACTAAATGTAAATGTATTATCTTTCAGGAATATTAAAATCAAGTCTTTTGACAAATAACTTCCTGTGCCCTTCTTGTAGATTTATGTAAGCAACTCTCACAGACAGGAGTGTGTAGAGACGAGAGGTCAATTATATGGAGCTTTTCTGACACAGCAGGATGTAGTAAACATCAATGACATATGAAATCCTGACCCCTGCTGTTCCTGTCATTGTAATAGCCAGGATAGCTTATTGTTTTAATACAGATCTGTTTTGCAGGTGGAGAACAGATTGGCAGGTTGAGTTTGAGAATATCACTTACATAAATAAACAATATAAATGAGCAATAAAATAAGACTAGATCGAAAAGAAAATATATGTTTATTATTGGCTCACTTCGTGTTCAAAATGTGAAAAACTTTAAAAAATGAACCTTAGAAGTAATTCTGGTCACAAAATTAGAATATCTTCAAAAGGTTGATTTATTTCACTAATTCCATTCAAGAATTGAAACTATACATTTGTTCCACACGGACTGATATATTTCAAGTGTTTAACTCTTGTGATTTGGACGATATTGAGGACAACTAATGAAAACCCCAAATTCATTCATTCATTTTATTTTTGGCTTAGTACCTTTATTCATCAGGGGTCGCCACAGCAGAATGAACCGCAAACTTATCCAACATATGTTTTACACAGCGGATGCCTTCCAGCTGCAATCCGTCACTGGGAACCATCCCCAAATTCAGTATCTCAGAAAATTTAAATATTATATAATACAAAGAAAGAATTTTTAGAAATCTCGGCAAACTCAAAAGTATCATCTAAAAATAAATCTAAATATTTTAGTTATATGACCAGTACCTTTGTACAGTATGTAATGCTTTTATTTATCAGTTGTCAAAAGATTTAATATGTAAAAACAGAACTAGAAATTTCTTTGTCCTACACACAAACATCTGCGGAGAAGTTGAATATGAGAGTGAATATGTATTTCCAATGCCGCTATTGAACAGCCAGTGAGCAACTTCAAATACTACGATCTTTGCTGTACTGTACACTGTAGAAGAATAGTATATAAAATGTCAAGACAACAATTTTTTTTACTAAGTTATTCAGGTTTTAACTACATTTGTAAAGTTATATAAAGTTTAACTAAACATTTTAGTCAGTTTGATTGATTTAAATTGTGATGACTAGAAAAATCCATTTGATTAAACTAAAAAAGATTAAGGCAGCAAGATTATTTACAGTGTATATTGTTCATTGTTGATGCATTTTTCAATCTAAACATTTTTCAAACAGCGAATTTTACATCCCTGACAGGTCCAGACATTTAGCATGCTAAATATTTCACAGGTATCGGCGACACATCAGCAATTCTCTCTGAGAATTTGGGCTGTTCTAATTCTAATAGAAGTCTAATAATAGTCCAGAATGAACCTCAAACAGATAGGAATGAATGACTACATATGTGAAGTCTGTCTGTCTATTTTGATGACTAATCTCATTTCATACTTTTGTTACATGTTTATTGGATTTTCCCAAATAATCATACCAATCCCAAATCCAAAATTTAGTCCATCACGTATAAATGTCTTTTAAACAAAATAAATTGCTTGGTGGCTACTGTACTTTTGAACAAATTGATTGAGATTCTAAACAATTTAAACTAGAGTTTTGACATTTCTTACCTCCACACATTTCTCAACACCTCTAGCCTAAAAACTGACATTTTCATAAGAATAGTTACCCAAGCTATACTTGCAATCATATACATTTAAGTAACTGGTTTCTAACATGTAAGATGTGATTTTATTCGGTTACACTTCTGCACAAAGCAGATTCATTCATGAGGGATTAATGGGGCATTCCAAGTTGTTTGGACATACGGAATGCTGCACATCATTAATTGTGCCAAAGTGCTTTAATCCCTTTGCCCATGCAGAGTCTGACGAGCACGAATGATTATTGGGAGAAAATGCTCCACAACATCTCTCAGGTAGTTTTAATCAACCAAGAAATAAAAATGGCCATATATATACAAAAAAGTGAATACTCTAAAAAAAGTTAAGTATTTATTATGATTTTCCCATAATAATGATTTAACCACAGTGTCTAATGGCCATTTTAATTTTTTTTCATCTCTGATACACCAATCAGAAAGGTGGATAATTTGAGGTTTGACTTTAATAAGCTGAAAACAACACTGAAGGAAATCCAGGAATGTGTCTGCCCACAGACCGGGTGCCTGGAGTAAGAATGAGTACATGTGACAAACTCCAGACTGTTCAGCTGACTAGAACACCCTACACACTCTCCAGCACTGTTCAGTGTGCCCTCACGCCTGACAACTCATTCCTCATTTAGACTGGACGCTAAGCGGCAGATCACCTTCCTCTGCAGGGGAGCAATCAGCTTGGGGCTAAAACTGCCCTGCCAAGGTCCACTGGTTGTGACAATGAACCAGTGTGCATGTGTGAGAGACTGATGTCACACTGAAAGCATTCAGATTCACCCCTCATGAATTAGAAACAATATTTGTTCAACTACAGCCAATGCTTCAGCTCTGCCATCTCCTGCTGAGAAGGGAATTCACAAGGATAGGCAAGTCCTAATCATTTGTGCCCTAGACTAAGAAGGTTCCAGCGGGTTTGGAGGAATAAACTCAGTAAAGCGTGTGAAAATTATGTTTCCACTCTGAGCTTGATGGAAAAACAAAAAGGATTTTCAGTGATTTGAGAAAAATCCTGTCTTTACTTGCTCACTCTCGTGTCATTTTCCGTGTTTAGTTTTTTTCTTTATTTAAAGTTGTGAATTGCACTATGAAACCTTGATCTCTGCTCTGTAGAAATTGAATGATGAAAATTCACTTGTAAAGTTTCACAAAGTGACTTTTATTGACATTATTTGTAGTTTGAATAACATAATGAATTAACAAATAATACACAAAGAAATGTTTGCAAAATGACCGAAAATGCTGTCAGTTTATTTTTTTTGTACTGTTAAATACAAAACCCAAACCAATAAATCACTTTAAATTATTTAAAATGTTAAGTTGAATGAAAGTCTCCTTTTTCAAGGTTAAAGTTTTTGTAAGAAAGATCAAGGTCCCGTAATACAATTCAAAAGCATAAATTAATAGGAGAGAAGTAACATGTTAAAATAACAGTACATAAATAACAACGTGTTAATATGTAAACTAAGCATGACTTTATTATGAACTAATGATGAGTTAATGCATGTGCTAATTATAAACTAACTAACTACAAAATGAGTCACAAGAGTTCACATGTTAATAACGGCCACCTTAACTACTTGTTAGTACATGATTGTTTGTTAATTAATGTATTAACTACCACATTAGTTTATGCTTATTTAACCATCATGAACTTGTGATATGTAAATATAGAATAATAACATGCCTTTACTTAGAGGGAAACATCATCATTAAGCTACTGTTAACTACTTATGAACTCCATGCATGCTAGTGCATTACACTGAATACAATAAAAAAAGTGTTCCATCAACATCAACAGTTTAAACAGAGGAGTTTATGAGTAGTTAAAGATGAGATAACGGTGATGTGCCCCTCCAATGAAAGTCATGGCATATTTATACATTAATAGCTCATGAGTTCATGTAGGCAACATTTAGCTTAAATTTAAATGTTAATTAATTTATGACATTATTATTAATGACATACTAACAGGTAATTAAGGTAGCCGTTATTAACACATAAATTATTGTGACTCATGTTAATTAAAAGTTAGTTCATGATTAGCACATGCATTAACTCATCATTAATTCATAATAAAGTTTACATATTAATGCATCATTATTTATATACTGTTATTGTAGGGTTACCAGAGAAAAAAACCTTGAATCACAAAATACAGAAAACATAATTAACATAACTTAAACATAATTTTTACAGTGCTCTTCATTATATTTTGTGTTCTGCAAGTGGAGAAATATACAGCAATGCACTGTCATTTAATACACAATGTAACACAGTTATATGAATTGTTAAGCCTAAAAAAAATACATATACTGTAGCTAACTCCATACTTAACTACTCAGTGCAAAGATATCAACAAACAAAGCATTTCGCTAAAATAAGAAAAATCCATACCCTAAACAAATCACACATATAATAGACTTACATGGTGTGTACCAAATATTTATTTTATCATTTAGCATGCAGTGTAAAATTGCCAAAATGTCTCCTTTTATATACATTCTCATCAATGTTAAACACAAACTCAACAGGTCCTTATATAGAGCGATTATAATGAATCGAATCAGTGCTTTTTCATTGTATTTAGTTACCTCATAGTATGGTGGTTTCAAGTATCAATTTCCTGACCAGTCCTCATCTATCTAAAACAGGTGTGAAAGTCAGAAAAAATACCTCAATCCATCTCTGTGCTTCTGAGTAAACAGTCTCATAGTCCACAGTAGACTGCGGTCGCCACTCCATCACCGGTCAACGTGTCTCCACCACAAACACGCGCGTAAAGTCGAGTCTATTTTTAAGTCTACCTGCCTTCGTTTACAATTAAAAGGTAGCAAGTATAACGTTTTTCTTACTCGAATGCCTGTATCAAAACTATCATTTTGTCGAAATTCAGCGAGCAAGTCTTATATAACAGTAACAAAGAACGCAGCGTAAAAACTTAAATCCCCTCTTGTTTTGCCAAGTACTGAGAAACTTTGTAGTTGTGTATTTTATACGCCCCCTAGTGCGTCAGGATACACACCTAAACTGCCGTCAGGTTACACTTCAGGCGCTGAGGGTAGAATCAAATTCCTTTAGGGACAGAAGAAAAATATGCCTTCGAGACCTCAATAAAGCAGTGGGGGGACACGTCTAAACTGTTAAATACAAGACAGTATTGGTTTAATATTTTTGTTTGGACGCAAAAAAAAAAAAAAAAAAAAAAAAAAAAAAAAACGTTCTGCTGCAATTGCATGCGATATTCTACCAGAAATGTTCATTATCTATCCCTGAAATAAGAACATATATACAACGAATAAAAAAAATCCCAACAATTTCTAAAGTAGACTGATGGTTGAGTTGTTCTGTAAAGGAATGTCACTCACTCGGTTCTCAGACTTTCTTTCTTTTTTAAAAAACACTTTAACATGTCTTTTTCCTTGACCTACAGCTTTAATACTTTTGTTTAGCTAAAAACAGTTATTTGGAAGAAACAAAGTTAAGACTTTATCATTCACATCAATTGATTTAAAAACATGAAAATATAAATAAATTCTACAAATAAACACTATTTTACAGTTGCCCTCATGTTTATGTCAGTCCTGTCACATTTGCATTCAATTTAACATAAACACTTGACAGTGGATGCATTCTATCATTGAATTGTATATTTGAAGCTTGTTTTCGGATAGTTTCTAGAAGACAAGATTAAAGTCAGGCCCTGACACATTTATTAAGTGAAAATGTATAGAATATCGCATAAACAACAATCATTCAGATGTATTTGACTGAACTGTATGACTAAGCAATCAGAATACAAATACTATTGGAATCACTGGACATGGGAGTTTTTTGTATCATAAACACAAGTAGTTTTAAACATTTTAATTGCTTTAAGAAGGAAAAACATAAGGATTTTAAAACAAAATATTAACACTTCTACTGCTTGTGTTTAGGGACTGAACCTATCATTCATCATACAACAGCAACAAGGTCCCAATTTGACTCTCATCTGGATTTTTTGTTATAATAGAGAAAGCTGTAAAAATGAAACATACTCATCAAAACGTTGGTAAAGGTGTAATACTGCTTTAAAAAGAGCATACGTTCTTGTAAATATGTAAAGACTGTATAAATCAGGATTTTTAATAAACTTTAAGCAAAATGAATAACACAAGATGAGCTTATTTAATCAACACTGAGTGCATTTTATATCATTTTGGAGAAATAAACAATAGTTTCAAGCAGTGTCAACAGTCAGATACAAAATTATTATTATTAGTACTTAAGTGTGTACATCTTTTGAAATAGGCTAATTTTTTTTATTTTGCATCAAATTTGTCTTGTAGTGGTCAAACTTTTAACAAACTTTAAAGGTTAGTCAAAACTGAAGTTATACTGTATAAACGCTAAACGTTTAAAGTATTCAGCACTTCTGAATGATTGGCAGTTTTTCTCTTAAATAACAAGGAGATTTATGCTTTAGAAAGAGCCACCACAGTGAAGCGAAGCTCCTGAGGATCACGGGCCATGAACTTCTTGCAGACCTCTGCAGAATCCTGTAGATCAGACAAAATGTGGATAAATGCACAGAACACGTTTAACAATGCCCACAAACTTGTCTATAGGGATGTCTTTAAAAAAAAACCTCACCTCAAGAAATGTGTCCTCTGTGGTCTTTCCATGAACAATTGGAAAAGGTTTGCGACCATCTAAAAGAAATGAAAAACAAACTTTTAATATGAGGCTTCACCGTTTCAATTAATGTAAAAAAAAGTATTTACATAAACTTTCAAATTCACCTACCCAGTTCATATAAATGCCCGTCAACATTTACGAAGGCAATAAAATGCAAATCCACTTTTTCATCTAAACCTGGAGCCTGTAAGTGTGAAAAAGGCAAATATATGAGTATGCTTAACATTTTCTACGATACTGGAATAGCAACCAACGCCTAAAAGCAGTTTCTTGGAGTAATAGAATTATACAAAATAAGGACTGATCATTTCTTTTTCACTGCAGCTTTTTAATAGATACTTACATACCAGACAACATTCATATGCAACATGCCATTCTGATACAAGAATTAGGTTTGTAAATAATAATTTATGAAAACTAACTAAAGTATGATCTTGTTACATCGGTTTTTGAAAAAAATGGTGACTTAAATGGTTTCAGTATGTCATTTTAACAAAATAAAACATAATTAGCATAAACTTTAAAATGTATGCAAATACGTATTGTTTTAAACAACAAATAGGGATGCACCAAAACACTTCTTACTGACCGGCTTGGTTTTAAGTCATGGTTTTGATATTGTTTTGTCAAACAAAAATCTCTACAAGCGAAATACATTACAATATGAAAACAATATAGCAAAGATAATTCTGAAATAAACAGTGATTTTCAGATTTTTTATGTACCTAACAGTAATTTTCAGTTAGATAAACTAAAAAATATAATCAAATAACATTGCAGACCATTTATAACCTTCAATATACAAACTAAAAGGTTAACCATAACAGTCAAGAACAGAGTGGTTTCATGATAGTTTGTTGTTTGATTAATATTAAAAACACAGGGCAGGAATAAGATTTTACTTGAAAGGGGCACCTATGATAAAAACCAACTTTTGGAAGCTATTTAGACAGAATTGTGTGTATATACAGTGCATCCACTGTCATATTTGGGTGAGAGAAAACACAGTAAGTCTCTTTTTAAAAACTTTTTTGATGTTAAAATAGTATTCAAATCCCTCCCATTTTGGGGCCCACCGCAGTGTGATATAGAAGTGTGGTTTTCCCTGCCCAGCAAATTGATTGACAGGTGCCATGTCTCCATAATAACATGCATACACATGGTGTCAGTAAACACGCATATGTACTGTATGCGTGTACTGCAAATGGCAGTTGAAATAAACTCTACCACAAACTCTACCTTCATCTGTGTTTGTCTCTGTCACTGTGCTGTTTATCTGGTGAAACGCATAAGAAGCAGACATGCACGTCAGAGTGGTGAGCTCATTTGGATTTAAAGCCACAGGCTACAAAAACAGCTACACTGACCTCAAACACCAAAACGGGCAGATTTTTCATTACATAATAAATTATCTGATGGGCATTTTGAACTGAAACTTTACAGACACATTCTAGAGACATCTTGTAAAAAGGGTAAAATAAGTGCCCTTTAAAACTCAGCAAAGATGCAGGACAATGAGAAAGTTAGACAACACAATTTGCTGGATGTTTCCATGCCAAGGCATAATTGACTGAAGGCTTGTCAAGCTGGACAGGTGGACATAATTATTGGTCATAACTGAGTTTTTCTGTTGAGAAGCAAAGATTAAGTAACTTTTTCATTCAGCTGTTAAGAGGAGGCACTTCTCAGATCACATGCTGACATAAGGGCTCACATCACTTTTAATTTTACGTGAAAGCGTCTACTACTTCAGTGCTCACTAATGTGACATGTTCTCAAGGGGAGCCTTGTTTCAGAGCATTGACATGTGTTGTAACATGCACAGAGCCAGTTTAGAGACTAATAAAAGGAATGGGGGTAATGCAAATTTCATTTGTACATTACTGCAAAACCGAAAAACCATAATATCCATATGCATACTGAACCATGGAATATTATGATCAATACTGTATCATCTCTACTAACAACCACACTTTTAGAAAATACAGACCTCTGTTTGTCCCTCCTGAGCACTTGATTCATGTGTTACTCGAATACTCTGAAATAATATTAGAAAAAGGATAGTTTAGTTTAATCCAGTTAAGTGCTTTCGATTTCTGCTGATAACAGTCAGATCTGGTTACTGATAACCTCAGTAAAAAAAGTGTAACAACCAGCTGCACACTGTTGCACTAAAATACCTAATTTCATCACCTCATCTTTTTCAAGGAAAGCTGCCTTTTCTTCTGGACTCATCTTTGCAGACTGGAGTAAAAATGTCTTAAGTGGTGAATTGAGCTCTGGAAAAAGTAAAACTTTATGAACATACTGCAAACAAGAATATTAATGCATAACAAGTGGCTATCTTTTTTTTAAAAGCAGGGAAAACATGCCTAAAAAAAAACAAAAATCAGCAATGATACCCACCAAACTCTAGATGATTTTGATTGTTTGCCACAGCATGAATGAGCCCTATTGTTCCACAAGCATTGCCGATGGTTTGTTTCATAAAGTACACATCTGAGGACACCTCTTGTCCTTGTCCTTTAATTTTTGCCTCTTCCTCCTGTCTAAAGGTTTCATACTACATTAAGGAAAAAAATATTTAATTTTAATTTCAAATCATCCAAGAAATTGCATTACAAGACTTTCATTCACGTAAATAAGGCAAGCATTTAGGCTGGTGCAAGAAATTAATGTTATGCTTTTTCTGACATTTTCATAAAGAGCATTTGAAATAATTGAGGCTTACGTGCATTGAATATGCTTTCTCTGTATATATTTCTTTGTAAATTGAGGAAACCAAAGTTTAAAGTTATCGGCTGCTGCTTTCGGATATTATACCAAAGTTGGCAACCCAGGAATGTTACAGATGGTAACAAAAAAGAAAAAATAATATATAACAAAAATAATAAATAACAAAACAAAAGGATAGCGGGAGATAGTGTGAAATACAGGAGACTCCCAGGAAAAAAAAGGAATGTTGGCAGGTTAGACAATCCCATTATTTTAATGTCAGACAAGTTAAAGTGATAGTTCACTTAAAAATTTAAATTCTTTAATTTTCTCACCCTTCACTTCATCTAAACCAGTTTACGATTCTTTCTTCTGCTGAACATAAAAAATTATTATTTTTTTTTTAAGAAAAGCAGCCATTGACTTCCATGGACTTTTTTCCTACTATGGATGTCAATGGGTACTGGCCATCTTTATTTGTGTTCAGCAGAAGAAAGAAACCTAAAGGTTTAAATCTTTT